GGGTGTCCTTATTATAATTATGGTATAAGAATATACCCCAAAACCCTAGTCAAATTATTAAAGCCCTTACATTATAAGGTTGCCGGTTTAGGGTTGAGGGTTTAGCTCCCGTCTTGAGGCTGAGGTCTAGGTTCAGGGTTTCTGCATTTATGGAAGTCTCCGGGTGACTCGCCCCTCCTCTGCATGTACATAGGCGTGAAACCCAAGCCCTCTTGTATATCATGACTGAGTTGTATCATAGCAGTTTCAAGCGGCTGCTATTTGTATGAACCCCTAAACCCTAAACTCTAAATTTATTCAGACTCATACAGCATCAGGGGCTTCTGAAGGCTGCGTTCTCAGCCCTGAAGGTAAAAATGGAAATCCCAGCCGGAGCCATTCTATAAACCCTCCGCGACTCCCCGAGGTCTCTCCGGATACCCTAAGGCTCCCGGTACACAACTGTAGGTGCACTAATCACCCCCTCCAAAGCCTAAACCGCAAACCGCAAACCCTAAACCCCAAACCCCAAACCCTAAAACCACCCAAACCCCAATCCCCGTTCTGCTGAGGAGTGGTACCCTTCGGGCTGCCCTGTCTTCTGCGCGCACGACGAGATGTACTGCTCGGTGCCGTCAGGGGGATTTCAAACTGTATCTTCGGTTTAGGGACGTTTCCGCGCGCGCGCGTGTGTGTGTGTGTGTACACACACACAGATATATAAATATCTATGTATACACATGCATGCATGCATCCATACATCCACCCATCCACCCATCCATCCATCCATCCATCCATCCATCCATCCATCCATCCATCCATCCATCCATACACACATACATACATATTATATATATATATATACATATACACATCTCTGTGTATAGTGTGTATATATAAATATGTACACGCATTCAGATTCCTAAAACGTTATACGGTTTGGAGGTTTCCGATGCAAAGGCTGCAGGATTTCAGGTGCAGCGCGAGGGATGCAAAGAGAATCTAAGATATCTCAAGACAGAGAGGTGTCAGAGACTGCTTTAAGTGATGACCTTTAACTGGTAGGATTCCCTAAACCCTAAACCCTAAACCCTAAACCCTAAACCCTAAACTCTAAAAGAAAAGTTGTAGGACTGTGGGCTTAGGCTCCAAAGCTCTCTTGCATATCTTTACCGTTTTTGTTCCCACAGTCGGGTTAGGAGTGTATGGCCGGTGCCCTATTCCCTGCAACGGTTTAGGGTTTAGGGTTTAGGGTTTAGGGTTTAGGGTTTAGGGTTTAGGGTTAGGGTTTAGGGTTTAGGGTTTGTAGGGTTTGTGGGGTTTGTAGGGTTTAGAAGACGATGCGCACCCCCAGTATACTCATGGCTCTCTGGCGGGAGTAGATCTACGGAAATTTCCCTGGAAGCAGTATTGTCGTCTGCTATGTGCGTCCACATCACTGGATGACTACGGGTTCTTCTTTGATTAGAGGCTCCGTTTCTGCCAGCCAAGTCCAATCCAAGTCTTTGAAACGACAGCCTGCGCTGCCTATGGTTCGCGGCCATAAAAGGAATTGATATTCTAGGGCTTATCGTTATTCTGTGCTGATTACTTAGTTGTCCTTATATTGATATGGAGACGACGACGATGATGATGATTGTATGCAGGAACCTCAGTGCCCGAGTTGACTATTGAGCTTTATACATCCGTCGAAGTCCGGCCACCAAGACAAGCCTAAATGACCGAAAGAGTGGGGGAGGTGGTCTCCTTCGATAGCAACGGCTACATGCACTTGGATGGCAAGATGAGCCCTGAAACTCACGCCAAGTTGTCCCCCAAGGGTTGCGGGTCGCAGAGCTCGATTTCGGCTGCTTCAGAGTTCTAGGGTTCAAGGCTCTGGCTTTTCTGGCTCTTGAAGGACAAAACCCTAAACCCTAAACCCTAAACCCCTATAGTAGAGGGGTCGGAGTAGTCGAACGTTGTTGGTTGTTGTCGGCGAAACGCCAAACCCAAGATTGCAAATCTGCGGCTGTGAGGCAACGGCTACTTGATGTAGGTGGCTTATGTCCGGACCCTGCGATGTCAGTTGTTCGTACTATTCCATATGGTCCTATGCTACTCCTTGTCGTTTGTTGTTACGGTTTCAATTCACCGCTTTGGGTTGTAAGGGTGCTGGGGTCTTGGCGGCGTCTCGAGACCATACATGTGCGAGTTTGGTTCATGTGTGTCGCTACATGCACAAAAAGTTATAATCATCCGGAACTTATGTGGTTGGTAATTACGGCCCCTTTAAAAACAGGTCCGATAAGTGTGTTTATGTAGTTGTTTCCCACAGTAGTAGGTAGGGTGTGGTAGCTTGAGGTATGTAGACCCCCTGACATAGGACTTGTACGATACGGTCACTCCGGTGTCCTATGGTTTGTAGCTGAGGATTGCATACCGCTAGAGTATGTTTGTTTCTCACGCTTCGAACTTGGATCGCCCGAAACTTCCACTCTGAACCCCCTCGTGTCTGAGTTTCGAACACCCCAAACTCCTAAACCTGAAGAAAGTACCAGCTTTAGGCCGTGAGTTCCTAGACCCAAAAGACAAGCCGGAAAACCTCGGAGACTCTAGAACGAGACTCCGTCAATCAGGCTCCCCCCCCAATCCCTCACAAAGCTTTCAAAACCTAAAAGCCCAAAGCCCTAAACCTTGGCTAACGATAGTTTCGGGTTTAGGAGTCTTTCGGACTTTAGGTTTACAGCTTGCAGCATGCACCCTAAAATCTTGAACCCTGAACCCGACGCAAAACCCTAAACTTTCAACCCGACACTAAACCCAACCGCAGGCTCTGGCAGGACTACTGTCTCAATGGAGAGGCAAACGACTGGTGGTGCCCGGTGACCTGCGACAACACCACTGCGCAGAAGCTTTTGCCTCAGGGTTTCTCCAGAGGGGTGGTTTGCGGCTTAGCAATCAGGGCTAGGGGTTCCTAGGACTGTTCGGGGTGTTGGATATGATCGTGGTTTGGAGGTTTGGAGTTTAGGGTTCAGGGTGTCAGGTTTTAGGGTCTCAGCATTGTCTTTAGGGCTTTCGGGTATTATGGCTTGAAGTTCAATGTCAGGGTATACAAACCTTAAACCTCCAAGCCCTAAGCCGCGGTACATCGGATTCGGGTTTTACTTTGTCGCAAAGTTTGGGGAGCGGCCGAAGTCGGGTGCCAGACACGCAGCTCAATTACAGCGGCAGCCATTTTGGGGACTGGAGTCTATCCTTTATACGGTTCTGTCATTATTCAGAACTATACTATTCTGTGCTATGCTGTGCCGTACTAAAGTAATCTCTACTTGATTAGACTAGACAAAACTATACTAGGCTATCCTACACCGTACCATAATATGCAGTTGAGGTCCTTGTGGCAGTCCAACCTTGCTTCCGAAGTGCCAAAAGGTGTGCCTGATGGAGCCGAAGGTTCTGAGACCTATGGCGTACTCCAGGAGCCTAAATGATTTCCCAGACTATTCTTGGGGGTTCCTATTTTTAATTTTAGTACTAAAGAATTACCAAGCCTATTCTTGGTGTTCCTATTTATAATTATAGTACAACGGGCCCCAAAACCCTGTTCTACTTATGAAGGCCCCTATATGAACGCCCCTCCCGAGAGCCAAGAACCGGTGCGTGCGGACTCGGTCGCGTAACTGTCGCGTGAGATGTCGAGTCGCCGAGCACACCTTCGAAAGGATGCCTTGGTTCAGGGGTTTAATGCAGGGGCCTTGATCATTAGAATAGTGTTTGGGGTATGTTATACTAAAATTATAATAAGGAGCCCCCAAAACCCTCTTCTAATTATTAAGGCCCCGACATTATGATTATGGGTTTAGGGTTCAGGGTTGATGACTCGGATAAGTGCCTAGGACCAGAGTTACACGCAAAGCTAACGGCTTTAGCTGATGTGATTCGAACCGGGTACCCGGGCCCTAGAAAGCCTACTCTTTTCAATTTCCAAGTAAACCTTGAGAGAAGTCCAAAGCCGGAAACCCCCAAGCCAGTTCGCGCCGCAAATGCTGAAGCCCGCTCCTCAAGGTGCGGCACGCCCGGTGCTTTTGACGAACACTGCGTGTCTCTGTCGGACGGCTGACTGGGTTGGGGCTTAGTCAGTGTTTGCATGGGGTTTCATTTTTGAGTGCTTGAGTATCTTTGGATCCATCGGGCCTGCGCCCACAAAAGAAGGTTCCTTAATGTAGGGGCCTAAATAATTACCAATACTATTTTGGGGGTTCCTTTTTATAACTATAATATAATTCATGGGCCCCAAAACCCTATTCTAAATATTAAGGCCCTTATATTACGCTTAGAAGTGTGGCAAGTGCTGCTTTCAGCGAAGCTCTTTGCCCGGAGGCCCGCTCTTCAGAGGTCGCTAAAGCCTCCGACATTTTAGAAAGCAAGTCTTGTCCTGAAGCCACCCATTTTAGGGTTTAGGGTTTAGGGATGACGGTTTAGGGTTTAGGGTTTAGGGTTTAGGGTTTAGGGTTGCTCAAATGAAGGAGACTTGCCCGGTCAGCTGCACCGAGCAGTACTGCTGGGCAGCGTCTTGGTTGCCAGCTTTGTTTTTGTTTAACTTTGTTCTGTTGATTTGAGGTCAGACAGCATGTAGAGTTTAAGTTACTGCGGTTTGGCTCCATCCCAAGTCTTGCATTCCTGTGAGTTCAGTTAAGGCTTTCGGCAAGACAAGAAATGTTCAAAGAATGTGGTGTTGAGCTTTCCTTCCTCCTCGACAGAACTACAAGTACGGCCAGTGGGGACCCGGTACAGCCCAGACAACCAAGTAGTAAAAGATGAGCGGAATCTCGTCTCACCTGAACCATTCAGAAGGACATACGCAGGTATTGAGGCTGCCTGCAAGAACACAGCCGGGCTTCGCATCCGGAACCCTAATCTCCAACCGACGGCAGACGGTCCAGCAGGAAGTGTAGCTCCCGGCGCATCAAAAACACCTTAGGACAATTATGCCGCCAACGGCGATTGGATCGACAGTGCCGAAAGCTGCGCCTTGGGATGCGGTTGAATGTTGCGCCCGGTGCTAGATAGGGAGGGGTCGTGCCCTGCCCGGAACGAAGGAGCGATGCCCGAAAAGCTTGTGCCTTTGCTTCAGCACACATTTGAGAACATCCTGCGTTGGAAGTTGTAAGAGGTCGGCTAGTCAGCATTGACTGCGCCAGCACTGGCTGTACTTGCAACTAGCAGTCTCGCCAACCCTCAAGCTCGGCCAAGGCTTCTTTGCGAGTTGGTCTTGGGTGTGGAAGGAGAAACCGGAAAACAAATTCCTGCACAAATAACTTCACGCTTCAAAGAAGAAAGAAACTGAATTCGCCCAAACAACTTCCCATGAGAGTGTCATCTTATTCAACCAAGTGCACCGCTTGAAGCTGGACCCTACAAGATCCATCTTCTTGGAAGGACTTACACATTTTCTGGGTCCGTGTTGGCTACAATTTTACATTTTGTTATAATAAAACCCAGTAATGACTAAACATGATCATTTTTAATAGGGAAGCAGTTTTGATGAAAACAAGGAGCCCTACCAAGTCAGTGGATGCAGGGTCTAGGGGGTCTGGTCTAGGGTTAGGAAGGAAATACCTGAAGGTTGTGGCACCCGCGGAGCTCGGGTTGTTGTTTCATCATGCGCATCGCTCAAGACAAGAGGTTGAGGGCCGGGTAACAAAACATAGTGGGTGGCATTTGCTAAGTTTTTTGGGGTTTCATTGTACAGCATGGTGCAAACAATGTCATTCGGTCCAATGTTTCTCGGGCATCGGCTCAGCCCACAAATGCTGGTTTCAACAACTTTGCTGTTTGTTCCATGGCCACACAAAGGAATACCCTCCCTTGACAGACGACCATTAGCCAGGCGGCTGCTGAATAAGATGTTGTAGTTACAGCCGCAGCTGGATAGAGAACCATAAAAAGCCACTGCGACAATGTTTGTGCCGCCGAGACGGTGCCTAAACCCTAATCCCTAAACCCTAAACCACAAAACCCCAAACCCCTAAACCCAGGACCCTAAACATAAGGCGCAAGCTGGGGAGAAGATTGCCCGTGCGGGGACAATGCTGCCGCCGGGTTGCACGAAGTCTTTCGGGCTAGCGCCCTCTTCCCGGTTTAGGGCTTAGGGTTTAGGGTTTAGGGTTTAGGGTTCAGGGCCCTCTTCCCGGTTTAGGGCTTAGGGTTTATCGTAAACCGGACATGATAACATGCGGCTGGCGACGGCACCGTGAACTTGGCAACTGCAGCCACGATGAGCTTGTGGGTTGGTATTCTAGACATTCGGCTTCGAATTGTGGCTCTCAGGTTTTAATAGATCCGGCACTACGCTTTGTAGCTCCAGGGCTGCTATGCTGTCAGGTTTTAGATTTCTCTGTAGTGTGTCGGGCTTAAGCTTTTGAGGCTCGGGGTTTGAGTTTGCAAATCCGGAAGCTAAACCAAGCCACACCCTCACCACCTAAACCCTCAACCCCAAACCCAAATCCTGAAAAAGCCCTCAACCTCAAAATCGGGCTCCGGGCAGGTCCGATGCAACGATCCTTTCTTCGGCTATTCGTACTGCACTCCAGCACCCTGGCTGGAGCATCTTCTTTCCGATCGGGTCAGCTTCCGAGAAGGAAGCACTATGGTGCGCATATAGACTTGCGTAGTGGCAAAAATCATACGACTAGGACCAGTCGTAGAGCAGCAGCAGCAGCAGGAGCTGCAGGAGTAGTAGTACAGTGGTAGGGTATAGGGTAGTGGTAGTTGTAATTAGTGGTAGTGGGTAGTGGTGGTGGTGATTGGCAGTAGTAGTCGTCGTGGTCGTAGTGGTAGCGGTAGTAGCGGTGGCGGTGGCAATGTAGTGGCCGTAGCAGTCGTCGTCGTCGTCGTGGTCATGGTAGTGGTAGTTTAGTGGTAGTCGGTGTGGGAGTGGAGCTGGACCTGCGGCTGGGACTGGGACTGGGGCTGGGAGGAGGAAGAGGAAGAAGAGGAGGAGGAGGAGGAGGAGGAGGAGTGGATATTCATGATTCTTGTTGTTGCTGTTGCTGCAGTTGTAGCAACTGCAGAAGCAGTAAGATCACTGACATGCACAGCAGCAACAACAACGACGACGAAGGAGACCACCACCACAACCACAATCACCACCACCACCGCCACCACCACCGCTGGTGGTGGTGGCAGCGGCACCAGCTCCAGCAGCAGCAACAGCAGCTGCAGCA